TTCAAAGCCAGCCTCAGCAATTTAGTGAGGCCCTAAGCAACTGTCTCTAAATAAAAAACAAGAAAGGGCTGGAGATGTGGCTCAGTGGTTAAGCACCCCTGGGTTAAGCATCCCTGAGGGAAAAAAAAACAAAAACAAAAGAACAAAGAAATCTCCCACAAACCCTGAGAACTTCTAGAGTCCCAGACTTCAGAGATTTAAACTGGTGACATGCAAAGAAATGGGCATCAGAGTAATAATGGACTTCATGATAAAAAGTTGTGATGTTAGAAGTCAAAGGAAAAGTGTCCTGAAAATTCTGCAGAGAAATGATTTTTAATCAAGTTATTATGCAGATCATCAATACGTGTGTGGGTAGAACAAAAACATTCTCAGGTGTGTAAAGATTCTAAAAACTGATCTGTGCCATTCTTCGTAGAAAGACACTGTAGGAGCTACTCCATCAAAATCAAGGAGCAAACTAAGAAAGAGGGGTACAGCAGGACCTGGAAACATGCTCTGTCACAGACGGAGCGAAGAGCTATTCCAGGTGGGCAGGAGCCACTGCTTTTCCTTCTAAGTCAATACCATTTGATTTCTGAACTATGTGCCTATATTACTGTGATTAAAAAATGAAGTCTAATCAAGGAAAACATGGTTGAAACACTAGTAAGCTCCAGGTGCCAGATAAAAGAGGGGAGGAGACGAACAGAAGAGATTTCTGAGGAGTAAGTGAGCCCAGGAGCCATGTGCTCTTGTGTAGAATGGGCTCTGAGTGTGTGTGTGGGGGGGACGGGATGGGGGATGAACTGTGGGAATAGTGCGCACACTGCCTAAAAGAGTTTGCTGGAACCAGCATGTCTCAGAAAACACAAGGCGTGGGCAGGAAGGGATGGGGACTGGGGCCACTAGTCACAAGAAAGTGTTCACAAAGTCACTGGAAGTTGTGACTTGCTACCCACTCTTTCCTCCTCGACACTGCATCACCGGGCCCCTCTCCACCTACCAGCTGAGACTAAAGACAAAGTCTGTGATGGTGGGTGCCTGTCCAGTGCCACTCAGAAACTCAGGGAAAGTCCCACCCCACCACTTTGAGGAACTATAGCATCCATCTGTCCCAGGGTTCTGGGGCAAAGAGTGGAAGGCAATGACCTTAATCGCATCCTTTCCCCGTGCCAGGCATGTTACATACATTTTCTCATCCCAGCCAGCTACACGCTGTCTCAGATGAAGAAATTACTGGCAAAATTCATAAGAAATGAGATGTTCTGTGCCTGTCTGCTTGATCGCAAAGTCCCCTAGATTGAGAAATGGACAGACCTAAACCAAGGAGAGAAAGGGCTTGTAGCAGTGTGGTAAGAACATGATTCTAAAGAACTGAGTTCTTTCACTCCAGGCTCATCTCTGCTCTTACTCGGGGACATGGGGCCTTCTGCCATGCTCGATGTTTCCCTTGGGAGTCTAAGAGTCATTAGGCTTTGCCATTTAACACTTCAGATTGTGTGAACATCCACAACATGGGGGATGGGCCCAGATCATGCTGGCCCAGGCTTCCCAGCCTAACTCTTCTTCCTTCTTCCTGGGGGTTACAGCCTGGCTTGTCAGAGACCAGCTTGACCCTCTGCCCTCCTCTTCCTTTTCAACAGATCTCTGGTGAGTTTGGCTGAGCCAGTCATCTAATCATCCTTGGGCTCTTCAGGGCAAGTGATGTGTGTTTTCTTAGAGTTGGGGACAAAGAAACACAGCACATGTTTATGTGCTACAGTTGTTCTGGTGACAATTATCTTCCAAGGTTCGTAGGCTGGAAGCTTAGCTCCCAGTGAAGTGGTGTTGAGGGGATGGAACCTTTAAAAGGTGGGGCCTAAGAGACAATTAGATGCTGGGGGCACTGGCCTCAGTAGGCATGCACGCTGGTCTCTTGGAGTATGTTGGGTCTCTCAGGAATGGGTTAGTTCCTCTAAGAGTAAAGTTGTTATAAAAGAGACTGAGCCTGGCTTCTCCCTGATCTCTTGCTTCCTTGCTCTTATATGTTGCTTCTGCATATGGCAGTTTCCCTTTCTGCTTCTCTGCCATGTGTAATGCAGCTAGGGGGTCCCTCACCAGAGGCTAGGGCTAGGCCGTTTTGATTTTCCAATCACCAGAATCATAAGTGAATTAAACCCTTTTCCCTTATACATTCCCAGTGCTAGGTATTTTGTTATAGCAACACAGATGGACTATGTATGTCGTTCAAGGGCCCTAAGATTGCAGGCAGAGGACCAGAAGACAGGCATATAAAATCAGGTAGCACCAGGGCCTTCATTTACTCACATTGCTTCCCTTTGGAATACCACTACCACTTACAGCTACCATTAATTGAGTAGTACATTATGTGCTTTTGGTACTTTTTCACTTAACTCTTATTAGCTCCATTTTATAGATGAACAATCTGGGGTTAGAGAGGCTAATAATCATGCTTAAGTTTATCTAGTTACCAAGCATGGAGGTGAGATTTTCACTTCAAATCCTGTTCCAACCCTTGTTATCTAACTCACAGTTTTCTAATTCTAGACCCAAGTTCCTTTTTTAGCAATCCCTGACAAGAATGGGATGCAGTTCAAGAATATGAGAACTAAAATATTTTCAAGGTTATTAAAAAGATAGGTAAGAAATAAATTCACACACGGTAGCATTTCCTATAAAGGGAATTCATAATTGGTAAGGATTATAATAATTCCATTCACATGTGATAGCTTTCTTTTTTTTTTTTTTTTGCCAATCACAGATAGTGTAGATGAAATATGTTTCTTCTTCTCTTTTTTTTCTTCCCCATGTGGTGCTGGGGATCAAACCTAGAACCTTGCACATACTAGGCAAGTCCTCTCTGAGTTACATCCTCAGCCTGAAATATATAGTGTATATATATCATTAATATCAGTAAATAAACATCTTTGTAAGTTTAGTGTGATTACAACATTAATCTCTGATTATGCTTTTTCAATCTCTGATTGCACAAGATTCCAACCTAAAGTAAATGCAAAAAGGAACAGAACAATGAAGATCCTTAAGGCTCTACTGCCTGTTTTATTTTTTAATAACCACTCCTTTTTGACTCTGTTAACCCAGGCACCACTTCTGGGAGAAGTGCCTCCATGGCCAAAAACCAATGAAGAAATGTTTAATAAAAGGTTTTCATACTGGGTTCCCTTGGGGAATCTGAGGTGATGCCTTGGAGGGCTGGGGACAATGGTTCTAGGAATGTGTGTAATGAGAGGAGGACTAACTTGTCTTCAGGTAAGGCAAGGCTGCTTCTATATGGGGTACCATGGAAAGTTGTATTGAAATGAAAATATTCGATAGGCACAAAGAATTTGAAAGTTCCTAAACATAGTCCCTCCCCACCCCCACCTTATCAGTGGTTTCACTTTATAGCTCAGTTACCCATGGTCAACTGATATCCAAAACTGTTAAATGAAAAATTCCAGAAATAAACAAATTATAAGTTTTAAATTATATACAATCATGAGTAGTGTGATGTAATATTACACTGTACCACTCTGTCTCACCTGGGGCACGAATCATCTATTTGTCCAATGTATCCATGCTGTATACACTACCAGCCCATTAGTCAGTTAGCAGCTGTTTTGGTTATCAGATAAACTGTCACAGTATAGCAGTGTTTGTGTTCAAGTAACCATTATTTTATTTAGTCAGCAGCCCACAGTACAAGAGTAGCAATGCTGGCAATTCTGTTATGGTATATGTTATAATTGTTCTATTTTATTTTACTATCACCAATTTATAAGTTAAATTTTATCACAGGTATGTATGTATTGGAAAAAAAATAGTATAGATAGGGTTTGATATTATCTGCAATTAAATATCCACTGGGCTCTTAGATATGGGGGACTACTGTATACAGAGACCTTTCCAAAGTTTGGAACAGATTATTTCTTCAACTCTAAAACAAGGGTAATATCCTTAATTAATACCCGGAATTACAGTGAGAAGTAGTTATAAAACGATCTTGCAAAGTGAGTGATGGCAATGACACAACAGCGGCTGTGACGATGGGGTGGCAATTCCACCTGACTGCTCCCTCCTGAATGCCTGAAGCTGCGCGTGGCCATAATGACAGAGGGCCTCTGCTGTCAGATTTGTACCAAAGTGCAAAGTGCATGAGGGTGAGAAGCTGGTAGATCAGGATCAACTGCCACCAAAGATTAATTTCTGCTTTAAAAATCAACTCCCTGCCCTTCCTTTCTAATGATGTTCTCTTAAAGCCTACTTGCTTATTGGACAATTACTCTCCGAGACACATTGCATGCATGAAAAAAACCATCAGATAAGGTCATTATCTCTAGTTCTCATTGAGTATTATTAATGTTTCCTTTTTATGTAAAGTGTGGATATTTGAGTCTTATCTCATTTCCTCAACTCTAAATTTTTGAAAAGCAGAGCCTAGGTTCATTTTTCTCTATGCCCCTGCCTGAGAGAGACTAACCTGGTACCTTGCTTATGGAGTTATAATTATTCAATAATAATATTTTAAAATAAATATTATATTCCCTTGCCCCATTACCTGGAAATTGGTGCACTACCCATCAAAACAGACATTTGTGGATTTTAAATTGTTTTAATCCACATGGGCTTTAGTTCTGTTTTCTGTTCAGGACAACCAAATAAAACCCCAAACAGGTGGCTCAGAAGAGCAGCTTTCTTGGCATGTTACTGGTCCAGGTTTTTATTTCTTGCTCTATAAAAACACTTACTGTCTGATAAAAGGGTTTGCTAGAAAGGCTGCTGCTGCTACATATGACAAAGATGATGATAATGACAGCAGTAAGATCTGTTGAACACTTTGTGGCAGGCACTGGGCTGAGCCCCTTATGCACATGATCTCATTTGAACTTAGAAGCGCCTTATGAGGTGCTATTATGATTTCCAATTGATGCATGATCAGACCACACACACCGCACACCCAGCCAGGTAAAATGCCTTGACTAAGGACTCAGGTCTTCTATCGCCAATGCAGGACTTACCTGGGAAGTACAGAGTTAGGTGGCCTGGATTTTGCAGGGGATGCAACTTTTGGTTCTGGCCCCGAGCTCCCTGAAGATCCCAGCAGAGACTCCTGCCCTGGCCCAGGTGGATTTGGAAGTATTTCCCTTGTGGAAGTCAGGAGGTGCTCTTTAACTTCTTTCTCCCGGGACTTGGCTTTGTGTTCCGCCAGGAGGAGGTCAAATTGCTTTTTCCGGCCCGGGACTGCCCTCCGATGGCTTAGCGAGTGTGTCTAAGGAGAAGAGAGATGAGAAGCACAGCCTCTTTGATCAGCACATAAACCTGCTTCCCCAGGCCCTGCATTTCAGAAATAGCAATCATGGGAATTTAGAGGTGCTTGAAAAGTCAACTTCAAGGCAACAGCTCCTGCTCTGTGGCTGGGAAGAGGCAGAGACCACACGGACGCAACCATGCCCTACACTCCTGGTGCTAAGAAGCCAAAGCTTCCTCCAAAAACATGGCCTGAGATGACGAGCTTCAGCGCAGAACCCATGAAAACCTCTCTGATGAAAAGGCAACCGCGAGGGAATGCTAGAGTTAATCCAGGTGCAGGTGGGAGGCTCGAGTCGGCCCAGACAAACCGAGCCACCAAGCAGAGAGGGCCATAGCCTCGATCCCAAGAAGCACTAGCAGTTCAGAAGGAAATGTGGGGCTTTGGGCTACCCAATGGCGGCCGCCTTGGGTCCGCTGTTCCCCTGGCCACCCCGTGTGGCTGGATCAGGGGCGCGGCATCTCATCCTCCCCTTCAGGGCGCTGCCGCCGCCGCCGCCGCCGTTCCTGCATACATTAAAACGTAGCAGGCTTTAGAACCGCCTGTGAGTGCCTATAAATACAATTTACTGTCTGGCCTCCCAAGTAACAGGGGAAGCCTAGTTTTTTTTTTTTTTTTTTTCCCTCTCCTTAAAAAGCCAGCCAGCTTGAGGCAGGCACTCTGCTACCATGGACGAGAAGAAAGCATTTCCCTTACAAAGAACAGCTGGAGGTCATGTCGAGGTTCCACACCCTGCCGTGTGCAGAGAGTGGCATGCAAACATTTCGACAAAGGCCCCAGCAAGAGCAGGAAGTATTTTTTATGGAAAGAGAAATACCTTGCAGGTGAGGGATCTTGTGCAAGGTTTCTTTGTCTCGGGATCCAATACTCCACAGTGTTTATTTGGGTCAAATTCTCTCTCTGGTTTAAGAAACAAACAAAAAATATAAGAAAAAAGGAGACTAAATAGGATTTGGCATTAAGACTACAGTTTTAAAAAATGCACATTTGCACCAACAAGTGAGACATTGTCAGGCAATCTGTTTTTCCTTCTTCTTCTTCTTTTTTTTCCCAACCGGCTGCTAAAATGCCTCAAGACCCACGTAGGGGAAAATGGCAGTCCCCTTTGAACACAGAGTTTCCAAGCCCAGCACAGGGCACCAGGGTTAGGGTGGGAGAGGGCAACAGAAGAAAAGGAACTGTGCTGCTTGCAACACTTCATTTTATTTGAACGGTCCACACAGGTCCTTGGCACGTGGGGCATAGCGGCTGCAGAGCAGGGAGAGCCACCTGAGACTCAAGGGTCTCTTCTTCCTGGGCTGCTGCATACACCCCAGTACATACACCCAAGTACATACACCCCAGCCTCCACCCCTGCCTTCCTGCTAATTTAGCCATTTAAGTGGGAGATGGTTCCTTGACATGTCAGTGTGACCTGCCTCTCCCATACTTTACAAAGCACTCAGCAGGGGCTTTCCACACACCTGCACAGACCAACAAAGTCATTTACCTGATTCAGGAACATTCTAGATACAGGCAGGGGCAGGGAAAAGTCTGAGTGTGTGTTTTTGCGTGAGTGAACCTGTACTCTGTTCCTAGCCTTGGCCCTGAAGCCCTTCAGGAGAATAAGACAGGGCAGCTAGGGAGGAAGGGCCCCTGTGTGGGGAGATGTGGCTTGGGTCTGAAGGGATGGTTGACAGCTCACGAGGAGGCTACTTCTAAGGAATCAGTTCTTTTTATGCCCATTGGGGATCCTTCCTCCCTTCTGGGATAACAAATATGTTCTCCATACCTGGAAAATGTGGGGACATGAGGCAATCTTTTAAGGACCCATTAGGTTTTAGAATGGCCTGTGCTGTTTCTGGAAGGTACCCAGTGAACACCCAAGTTCTGAGGAGAGGAAGTCCACAGCTCTCTGGGTGTGTGTGGAAATAGGTGGCGTTCTATTGCTGGGGGGAGGAGGGCCTCGAATAGCTCCAAATTCAAGAGAGGTTACCCAGTCAACAACTGCAATTGGTGGAGTAAACTCAGAGCATAATAAATGAATGTGTTCTATTTTCAAAGAAGGTTTGGGGGTCAGGAGGGGAGGTTGCAACAGTAGCTATGATGCTGTGGGCATGAAATCATTCTTACACCCAAGGATATCCAAGTACTTCCCTCCCTCCTTTGTGCTTTTTGCCTTCCTTTTTTACAATCTTCATTTTAAGAAAAGAAAACTGCTAGGTCTGGAGATGCTGGTTTCCTTGGATCCCTCTGCCCAGCAGGCAGTGAATGCCTGCGTGCCAGGTCCCATGCTGTGCCGTGGGGGTCCTTCCCCCTCGGATCTGTCAGAGTCCGGCCAGTGCCCAGACCCACACCAGCACCTCATGCTGGCCTAGAGCTGAGCGGGTTATTGGCTGGGGGATGGAATTGGATGCCAAATGTGGGAGCGAGGTAGAAACAAGAAGACCCAATGAGACAAGAAAACTAACCAAGTGCAAAACCAATAGTCCTCAGGAAAGTCCCAGACAAACTCAGACTGCGATACAGGCTGCAAGTCAAGATCATGCTTCTGCTGCAACAAGGGATCCGTGGCCTCTGGACACTGTGCCCAGGCCTATTCGCTGCTCCCCTCCCCCGCCACCATCACTGACACTGCACTTCCATTCAGGGGGAGCAAGGCCCCAGAGTGCTCACAGAGCACCACACTCTACCTTTCCCTCACAGTGGGTGGCTAGGACATGAAGAATGGGGCAGGGCACTATTTCCATTTGAATGCTTTGGGCCTGAGGTATTTGTAATATATGATTTTTTAAAGAGTTTCAAATGTAAGATAGAAAAATAAGAAATACAGATAAACACAAAGTAGAAAATAAAAATTACCCACAGTTCCTTGGGTGCTTAAAAACCTTGCTCACGGCTGGGCGCAGTGGTGCATGCCTGTGATCCCAGCGACTTGGGAGGCTGAGGCAGGAGGATCTCGAGTTCAAAGCCAGCCTCAGAAACTTAGAAAGGCCCTAAGCAACTTAGCAAGACCCTGTCTCTAAAAAATATGAAAAAGGGCTTGGGATGTAGTTCAGTGGTTAAACTCGCCTGGGTTCAATCCTCAGTACCAAACAAACAAAAAAACAAACCACCCTCCAAAAACCAAAAACCCAAATAACCAGACTTGCTTATAACCAGAAGGTTTCTCTCTCACGGGATGGCTTTCACTGTATTTTTTTTTTTTCTGGCTACCATTAGATAGACCTCATGGTGTGTGGAGATATTATGAAGTTATAGCTTTTCCTGGTCATTTAGAGAGAGCAGAACTGCCCAAGTTAGTTCTACAACAGATCCAAAGCAAACATCATCCATAAGGGGCCTCTAGCGAGCCACTCAAAGAGTGGCCATGTGTCTGCTTGGACAACTGAGGAGTAGGCCCAAGAGAGACCTCCCAATGCCCCATCTGCTGTGCCAGCCTGAGTCTCCCATTTGAGAACTCTGACCTGATTATGGGGAAAGGGCATTTGTAAAAGTCCCAACTGCAGAGTCAACCTGGAAACCCACAAGGCCAAAGGACAGCGGTGTATCTCTCTGTGTAGCATTTTTCTGATGAGGCTATCCCAGCATGACCAGAGCCACTGTGAAATATCCCTGCAGACTGTCCAACTTTATAGCAGTGAAGCTTCTGTGGGAGCCAAGGACCTTCAACCTGTCAGCATATTTGGCTGCACAGAGCCACCTGCTAAGGAGACCCTCTAAGTCCACAGACTGTTGGTCAGTGCAGAGCATCTCACCCCCGGGGTGGCTGGAGTAACTCCTCCTAAGCAATTAACCAAGCAAAGGGACTTTGCCTGGGAGTAAGAAGCAGTTCTCCTTGCACTTTTAGGTGGAGGTCCTGTTTGCAGATAGCTCCATGTCCCCCTTAAAATAAAACAGAGCTGCTTAATTATAAGAACACTCCTTTGGTTACAGATGGGACTCAACTTTAGTCTTATCATGAGCCAGACTCTAATGACACTGACACATACCTGAAAGTCTCCGGTAAGGCTTGTTGCTGTTTTTGGTGCCATTTTGGTGTTTCTTGTCTATTGTGGCTGACAGAATTCCTTTGCCATTTAGGATTTTCTCTGGTGAAGGTGGCACTGACTTGGACATCAAGATGGGCTTAATTAAAGGAGGGGTGGAGACGGCAGAGGAGGAGGTGGAGGAGGAGGTGACTGCAGTAGTGGTTGTAGAGTTCATTTTGACATTGGCACCATCTGCCTTCACTAGGTTAGGAATTTTCTCTAAACTGACTACAGGAACCGGAACGCTGAAAAATAAATGAACAAACATACACAATTGCCTTCTTTGATACATCTGGTCTGCTGAAGAGCTATAGCCGCTTATCATTATCAGAACACTTCCTTATCACTTATTTATACTCCTCCTATAAGCAAGCAGCATGATTCCAGTTTTGATGGGATAGAGATTTGTGCTGTGGAAAGGACCAACAGGGGGTGTGAGGCTGGCACAGTGCCCAGGATAGCATCAGAGCTGACTGATTACCTCCCGTGCTGGCTTGTCCCCATGGATCCTGTGATTCTCCTCTTTCTCAGGTCCTATGTGTGGGTCTCTGAAACGGCACCTTGGGCAGAACAAGGCATCCGCTGTGAAGCCCAGGCAGAGACACTGTCTGTCCCCTGCAGACAGTGTGCCACAGTTGAATAAGGTTCCCTTCCCCCTGTTCACTAGTCTCCCTCCCCAGCCGATCGACCTGACATCTGCTTAGCTCCGGAGAGCTGACAGGATCACACCCCACGGAGGCATGGCTTCAGGCCAGCCCGCCGCACTCCATGCTGTTGGAGGGCTTCTGGATCACTCTCATATCCCGGGGATGGGCTCAAATTGAGTGAGCCGCCATGTACCATTATCCAATATTCCATTTTAGGCAGCTAGTTATGTAAATAGGCAATTCTCAAGGCTGGCAGGTGAGAGGATGAATTTTAAGAAGGCAAGAGCACAAAGGTGTGCATTCACTCTTCAGAATCTGTCACCTTTGCCCCACTTCCCTGCTATTTCTCCTGTGATGGATGTGCATTTGATTTCTGCAGCTCTTTAATGCTGGAGGACCCTGTGTCTGGGGGGCTGTGGAGGACTCTGTCTTGGGGTCTTAAAAGATGAGATGAATAAGCTTTGCTTTGGTCCCTGAACCAGATTCCCTTTCCTCCTGGCAGGAGGGTAGAATGCTAACACTTCAGCTCCCCAATCATCTTTGAGCTGAGAGTGCAGCCGACTTAGCTATTTGAATGCCAAATGATGGAGAATATGGCTTTTACATGCCTGCAGACAATGTAGGGCATGAAAGAGAGGCTGTTTTTGGCAGGGGAGGAATCCTATCTGTCCACAAAGCTGGCTGGCTCCCTCTTCTCTAAGATACACTCACAGATCATTTCTGTGATCAAAGTATTCATGAAATTATTTCAGCAACCCCTGAGCCCCTGTCCCTCTTCTGACTTAGAAACAGGATCACAGATGTTACAGATCTTTGCCAGTGAGAAGGGCACATAGTGGTGGAACAGATTGTGGCTGGACATTACGGATTCTCCCTTGGGGCCATGTGACTTCTTGGCCTGGGGAAAGAGTGTGGGACTTAGTCTGTGTGAGGGGAAACTGGAATGGTGGCTTTTAGCAATACTTGGTATAACTGCCAGTTCTGCCCTGTATTGGAGTCGTTGATGCACAGCTGCCTGTTTATTTAATGGTGATTCTCTAAGCACTCCCATGTTGCTTGCCAACTGCACCAGAAGCCCTTGAGGAGTGACAGTGCTCAGAAGTTATATACACTCCTCGGTGAAGTTATCACCTGCAATGGTTTGAATGAGTCCTCCAAAGTTTGAATGAGTCCTCCAAACTCAACCTTCAAGTTCACATGTTGATGGTATTTGGAAGTGGTGTCTTTGAGAGGTAATTGGGGTCAGATGAAATTGGGAGGATGGGGCTCCCCAACAGGGATTAGTGGCTTTATAATAAGAGGAAAGGAGACCTGAGCCTGTGTACTTCCTTACCCTCATCATGTGATGCCCTCCACCATGACAGCAAAAAGGCCCTCACCAGTTGCTGGCACCTTGATCTTGGACTTCCTAGCCTCCAGACCATGTAAAACAAATTTCTTTCTTTCCTTCCTTCCCTTGTTTCTTTTGTAGTCCCAGAGTTGAACCCAGGGGTACTCCACCACTGAATTACATCCCTAGCCCTTTTTATTTTTAATTTTAAAACAGGGTATTAATAACAGGTATTGCTGAGGCTGGCCTCCAACTTGCAATCTTCCTGCCTCAGCCTCCTCTGTTGCTGGGATAATAGGCATGCACCATTGCCACCATGTACCTACCATTTTTCTTTATAAATCCACCCAGTCTGCAGTATTCTGTTACAGCAGCAGAAAACAGACTAAGATAACACTGCATTCCTGATTTTTTCCAAATGATTAAAAATGTGAAGGTGTGTGATATTGTGCAACAGAATTCTTCCAGGCTCATTTTTTCACTCTATTTTAAAAAACACAAGCTACAGAAACCAGGGTCTCAAAGAGATATCTGCACACCCATGTTCAGAGCAGCATTATTTGCAACAGCCAGAGGGTGGAAGCAACCCAATGTCCATCAACAGTTTAATGGACAAATAAAATGTGGTACAATTTGGCCTTAAAAAGGAAAGAGATTCTGACCTAGGGATGAACTTTGAGGACAGTGTGCTAAATAAAATAAGCCAGTGACAAAAAGACAAATAATATGTGATTCCACTTCCACAAAGTACCCAGAGTAGTCAAATTCATGGAGATGGGAAATAGAGCTGCAGTTGCCAGGGGTTGAGGGAGAGGAGAATGGGTATAGAGTTTCATTTTTGTTTTTGGTATTGAGGATTGAACCGAGGCGTACCCTACCCCTGAGCTTCATCTACATCCCTTTCCATTTTTTATTTTAAGACAGGGTCTCCCTAAGCTGCCCAGGCTGGTCTTGAACTTGCCATCCTTCTGCCTCAGCCTCTGGGATTACAGGCATGTGTCACAGCACCCAGCCTAGAGTTTCATTTTTTAAAAATTAATTAATTAATTCTAATTTGTTATTCAAGACAGCATCATTGTTATAAAATGAAGAGAATTCTGGAGTTTGGTTACACAGCAATGTGAATGTACTTAACACTACTGAACTGTGCATTAAAAAAGGTTAAGACGGTAAATTTTATGTTACGTGCATTTTACCTTAATTTGAAAAATTTAAAGGTACAAACTAAAAAAAATCCAAACAAACCAAATTACAAAACTCAATGTAAACCTGAAATAACACGTACATATGTGTATGTGTATACACACACATAGAAGAACCTACTCAAAAAGTTTTCTTTAAATTTTTTTTGTAGTTGTAGATGGACAGAATGCCTTTATTTTATCTATTTACTTTTATGTGTTGCTGAGGATCAAACTCAGTGCCTCACACATGCTAGGCAAGCGCTCTGCCACTGAGCTACAACTCCAGCCCTCAAAAAGTTTTTTTTTTTTTTTAATTTCTCACTCTTGATCAGATCTACTAAGTTTTGTCTCTTTAGTACAAAAATAAACCAAACTTCAAATGTTGATACTATTCAGGTGAGCAGGCCTCCAGCACCTGAGCCACCTTCTCTGACAACACTTCTTTGTGAAGTCATTTTAGTTCAGGAAAGGAATCAAGACCTTCCAGCTCCAGATTTGGCTCTCATTGCATAAGCAGGGATGAGTACAAAGTTCTCCAGGTTCTGTGAAGCATGCCCTAGTGTAGGCTGAATGCTTATGTCCTCAGCAGACAAAGGTCTGATGCTGGGGACTGCATAATTCAGAACAAAGGTATAAATTGCCCTTCAAATGCTCACAGTTCAGTTGTGTTTCTCCTCCAGAAAGTCCAGCTCCAGATGTACTCTGTAAGGCAGCCGCATGAGCGCAGGGGCACTAGGCCCAGACATCTGGATCAGTGTGCCCGTTGACTCGTTGCTTAGGTGACGCTTCTCTCAACTATGTGTGACTGAGCTTGAACCAGGCCAGCTAAAGTCTGTGACTGAGCTCCTAATTTGAAATTTTTCCCAAGTGTGGCCCATTCATTTTCTGTACCGCCAGCCCTTCCAGAACTCCAGCTGGACTTCAGTCCCAGTGCCCACATGCAGGATGCAGAGCTCATGGGAAACAGGAAAGGCTTAAGTACAGTCCTCTAGGACTGAGGAATGGGAAGTGAGGGTGGGATCCAATCAAGAATGTCTTAAAGCATTCTAAAGACCAGAGAGTCAGGAGGCAGCTAGCCACTGAGTGAACTTCCATGTTGGAGGGGAAGGGTGGCTGAATTCTTTCAGGTGGAAACTCTAGGATGTTCATTAACTTCTGGAGAAGGCTATCGACCCCTCCATATCGAGGAGGAGAACCTGGGCTGTCACTGATACTTCTTCCCTCTGGTGTACCTTCTTTCTCTCAAAAACTTGGGGGTTCCTCTCTAAGGTAATCTGCCTTTGGCCTGGGAGGTAAGAGAAGATGGAGAAGCAGACAGCTCCATGACAGTAGAGAGAACCAAACATGTTCCCAGATGAATTGGGGGTGGGGGGAGATGAAAATCATCTGTATTTGATCTTGCCATGCCTGTTTCTCCAGTATAAATTCTAGCCACCATGGAATCAGATGGACTGTTTAAGCAGCGTGTGTCTGTAGTCCAGCAGTGGGTACTGTGGCCACGGGAAGCCACCTGTCATAGTTTAGATTTGGAATGTCCCCCTAAGGCTGTGTTGAAGCCTTGGTCCCCAATGCGGCAATGTTCAAAGGAGCCTTAGGGATGTGATGGATCATGAGCTCTTTAATCTCATCAACCATTGGTGGATTCCTAGCTGAACGAACAACTGGGAGGTGGTGGAAGGTATCTGATGAGGGACCTAGTAGAAGGGAGTAAGTCCTTGGGGAATACTTTGGGGACTAGATCTTGTCCCTGGTTCCTTCCATTCTCTCTCTCTGATTCCTGGCTTCCATGAGGTAAGCAGTGTTGCTCCACCACAATGTTCTCATTACAGGCCTAGAAATAGCCGGGTGTGGTGGTGCATGCCCCAATCCCAGTGGTTTATGAGGCTGAGGCAGGAGGATTGTAAGTTCAAAGCTACCTTCAGCTAAAGTGAGGTGCTAAGCAACTCAGTGAAACCCTGTCTCTAAATAAAATACAAAATAGGGTTGGAGATGTGGCTCAGTGGTCGAATGCCCCTCAGTTCAATCCTTAGTATGGAAAAACAAAGAAACAATGGAGCCAGCCAACCATGGACTGAAACCTCTGA